GAGGTTGTTAAAATATTTCCATTTGCATTAATTCACCTGTTTCAAAATTCCCAGCCCAACCTGAAATATATTTTTCATTCCTTTGTGGCTCCAGATGGGTTTCCATCCATCCATCTGCCTTTTCTGGCAAACGAGTTCCTCAAAATGATTATCTCTGCCCTGGGATAGTTAAATATATATTAGATGATCATCAACATGAAACCATGTGTCCACATAAACAGCCTGAACCTTGGCAGTAGGTAGGTTAGTGTTAAGACAAATGACATCTAACTTGCCAGGGGACCTGCTAAAAAATGAAACAGAAATGCCTATCATCGTAGATGCACAGCTTGATAACAATATCAGATAGGGCTGGAAGTGACCAAAATATCCTCCACAAATTTTATCGAAAGTCAGAAATATGTAAAAGGCTACAACAATAAATGAATAGATATGAATGTTTTAAAATCCATTGATATTGTGAGTAAAGAATGGCAAATATCCCTACTAAAGTAAGCAAATTCTGGTCATTAGTTTTGAGATTTTGAATACTCACGTGTAACGGCAAGAAACTTAGTTATTATAATGCATACTGTAGGCAGCAGATTGACTCCCAAAAATTATAGACATTAATCTTAAATGATAAACCTTCCAGGGCTTCCACTTTCCACGAGCAACATGCCCAATTCTAACTGTCCAGATTATAAAGCCAAGAGGGGCTGTAACTATCCATTCAATTCCTGATAGGCAGAAGGTATGTACCATTTCCAGGGCAGGTTATTTAAATTTGGGTGTTATTTCTTGATAAGTCAGTCAAGGATAGATTCTCACTTATTAATATAAAAGAGAGAGAAGTCAAGGAAATAAAAATGCAATCTGTGGGTGCAACTAGGAGCATGCAACTCCTCAAACAAAATGAATGTTAGGTATTTTGACAAATCATTAATAGTTTAGATTCCCTCAGAGAAAATGGCTCTTAACTGGTAGGAAATAAACTGCAGAATCAATTACCCATTCTTTAAAAATATATAAATCTAAAATACATAACAATATGTATTGTATGTTTGGTCAACTTTTGAGAATTCGAGTTTTTTTTGTTTTTTTTTTTTTCCTTTTTTTGTCTTTTTTCGTGTCCGGCAACGAATCGCAACCCTCAGTGTCGCGCCCTTACCGGACCGGGACCGGCAACGGGATCGCAACCCTC